CTCTCTCTCTCTCTCTCTCTCTCTCTCTGTCTCCCTCTCTCTCTCACTCTCTCCCTCTCCCTCTCTCTCTCTCCCTCTCTCTCCCTCTCTCTCTCTCTCCCTCTCTCTCTCTCTCTCTTGCGCTCCCTTGCTCTTTCTTGCTCTATCTCTCTCTCTATTTATATATCTCTCTATCTCTTACTCTCTCTCTAGCCTCCCTTGGCCTTTCTTGCTTTCTCTCTCTCTCTCTCTCCCTCTCTATCTCTTTATCTTTATCTCTCTCTAGTTTTCTCCCCTCTATTTCTATCTCTCTCTCTCTCTATCTTGGGGAGTCTTTAACACTGGTTCGTCCTCTCTCCCGCCTAGGGCACGTTTGGCCGCCACCATTTTTCTCTTCGCTTGTTGGTGATGGTGGGGGTGATCGAAGGTCATACCCACGTTACTCGTCGAGAAGCGGCGGTGTGAGGGAGTTGGGGTGGAGTAAGGGTTCGGATCTCAGAGCTATTAGACGGGAGGGGGGTAAGGCGGTTGCTGGGAGCTTCAGAGGGAATGTTGGATCGGGGTCTAGCGGGGGTGCTAGCAAAGAGCGGAGACACTCGGCCGTGGGCTCGAGTGGAGCGGATGACGTGGGATCTGAGAGCAGGCAGCTGGTCTATACTCGGTCCCCTGCCAAAATGGGTGGCTGCAAGCAGGACGGCTTGGGGAGCTCTGTAACGGTAGTTGGTCGTAGGGGGAAGCCTGATGAGGTGCTGAAGGATGCTGCTAGGAACCGGGGCAGATCTTTGGGGAGGGCTGAGATGCCTAATCTAGGGGATTTAAGATCTCCTGGGGATGAGGGGAACTGTGTTTCTGCCTCTAAAATACGGATGGAGGTTGACATAAAGGCTGAGGCTATGGTTCGGGTGGGGGAGATGGTGGCTCCTTATGTTGAACCTGATACGATGGAGATTTTGGGAGGAAGGGAGGTGGAGGACTTCCTGCAAGATCTCAAGGCAATTGTGGATGTCTCGGCCTAGATGATGGGTGCAGATACGGGAATGCACGAGGTGATGCTTGTGGAGGAGGTTCAGCGGGGGACGTTGAAGTATGGAGGGCAGGGCTTCCTGTCCCCAAAGGCTAGTATGAATCTACACTCCATGATGGACAATCCTATATTTGAGTCTAACAAGCGGACATGGTTGATTGGGAACATGGATAGCGGAAGGGGAACGAAGTCGGCCGCGTCGCTCCGGCACGATAGTGATGTCGCTATGGCAGTGGACATGGTTGAATAGTGGCCTAATGGGAAGCTGGATGGATATGTTGAGGTCAGGAGGTAGCCCGTTATCACAGACTCCGCTCTTGTGGGCGGCGACTCCTGTAGCTCACACGATCATGCATTAGATGTTTGTGAGAATGGCTCTACCTTCCAGCAGGCTACGAAACAGGGGAGCGTTTGGACTAGATTTGCATAGAAGGGGGGGGAGAGGTAGACGAAACATGAACGCTTGGAAGAAACATGTTCCTGTTGCACTTAACCTGGACGAGGATGTGCAAGACTTTCTGTTGGAAGATGGATTGGTTAAACTTGACCTATCTAGAGCCAGGGGCAATGTTCAGAAACTCTGACGAGCCCCTATTGGTAGCTTATTGGGAAGACGGGAAGTTTTCTGGGTTGTCTAGAACGAACTCCAACGGAAATGGGGACACTTCGGCTTAACCCATATTTTTCCCAAGGGGTCTGATTGCTTCCTATGTTGGTTTCATGATGTGGATGCCAGGGATAACGTCTTAATTGGAGGACCCTGGTATGTGGTAGGACAGATTATTGGGGTGGAAAAATGGACCGTGGGGCTATCTCCTAAATCTGTGAGAAAGTTCACCTCACCTGTTTGGCTCAGACTACCAGATTTACCACTTGAATATTAGGATGAAGTAAACTTAGCAAGGTTGGCAGCTGATGTTGAGAAAGTTCACCTCTCTCTTTCTCTCTCTCTTACTCTCTCTCTATCTCTCCCTCTCTTGCACTCCCTTGCTCTTTCTTGCTCTCTCTCTCTATCTCTCTCTCTCTCTCACTCTCCCTCGCTCTCTCACTCTCTCCTCTCTCTCTCTCTCTCGATCTCTTGCACTCCCTTGCCCTTTCTTGCTCTCTCTCTCCCTTTCTCTCCGTCTCCCTCTCTCTCTCCCCCTCTCAATCTCTCTCTCTCCCCCTCTCTCTCTATCTCTATCTCTCACTTGCTCTCTCCCTTGCTCTCTCTTGCTCTTTCTTTAGCCTGCTCTTTCTCTAGCTTGCTCTCACTTGCTCTCTCTCTCTCTCTCTCTATCACTCTCTCTCTCTCCCACTCTCTCTCTCTCTTTCTTGCACTCCTTTGCTCTTTCTTTCTCTCTCTCTCTCTCTCTCTCGCACTCACACACTCTCTCTCTCTCCCTCTCTCTCTATCTCTCTCACTCTCTCTCTCTCCCTCTCACTCTCTCCCTCTCTCTCTCTCTTGCTCTCTCCCTTGCTCTCTCTTGCTCTCTTTTGTTCTTTCACTAGCTTGCTCTCACTTGCTCTCTCTCTCTCTCTCTCGTACTCTCTCTCTCTCTCTCTCTCTCTCTCTCTCTCTCTCTCTCTCTCTCTCTCTCTCTCTCTCTCTCTCTCTCTCTCACTCACGCTCACGTTCTCTCTCCCTCTCATCCTTAGGAGTTAAACGTTATATTGTTTGACAGGATTTCTATTGATCTAAACCTGGAGGCTGCTAAGGCTAATGTGGCTATGCTTGAAAGAGCAGTTGTGGGGAAAATTCTGGGCAGTAGAGCTTCCTACTTCTTGTTGAAGTAGGAAATACAACGACAATGGGGAAGGTTTGGTGAATTCCAGCTTACTACACTGGGATATGATTGCTTTGTATGTGTTTTTGCTTTTGTTGAAGCAAGAGATGTTGTTCTTTGTGGAGGCCCCTGGTTCATTGGAGGTAATATTGTGGGATTGGACAGATGGACGCCGAGCTTCTCTCCGGCGTCGATGGAAGGCCTTTCCTCTCTGGTATGGATAAGATTGCCTAATCTCCCTCTACAGTATTGGGATGATTGTAATATCTCCAGGATTGCTTCGACGATTGGAGTTCTCCTCTGGATTGATGCGCAAAAAGGTAATTGTGATAGAAGAGAGTATGCCCGGGTGTGCGTCAGGATGAATTTGGCTAATAAGCTTCAGGCAGGGATTTGGGCTAACGGTTTGAATGGGAGATTCTACCATAAGGTAGAATATGAGGGTATTGGACTCATGTGTTTTGGCTGTGGCAAAGTGGGGCATAGGAGGGAGATGTGTCCGTCGAAAGTTGGTGGACAAGGGGATATTGGAAATAAAAGAATAGGGGAGCAATCGAAGCAGGCTGATTTTGGGGCAGGTAGCTTAGATCAACAGCTGGGAAGTCTTGGGTGGTTGGATCAGACTCAAAATAAGAAGAATGTGGCATCTGTGGTTAAAACAGAGGGTCGGAGCAAGGTAATACCTGCTGTAAATAATGATAAAGGAAAGAGGGTGGAGGTTCTACAAGAAGTGAAGGGAGGCAATGCTAATTCGGTGGAAAATCTTTAGGAAACTAATGATTAGTTGGGGCCTTGGAATCAGGTTCCCCCAAGACGCAGAAGGAGTACGCGCTTACAAGGTAGTAATAAGGAGAAAATTGAATGTAAACAGAATATGAATCTTTCTAAACAGGTAGATTTGGGCAAGATTCAAGCTCCTGCCAGTGAGCTGAAGCCTACTCATAAACAGAGTAGGATGGGATTTAAGCAGCCTTTGCTGTTTACGGCTGGAATGGATCTGTTAACAGTTTCAGTTGGGATCGAGTGACGAGTTTCCTAGGAAAAGGAAAAAGGAGATGGAGGAAGACCATGATCGGGAAGACATTAGCGGCGGGGACGCTTCCCTTTTTGTTTTTTAATGTCTTCCATCATATTCTGGAATTGCAGGGGAGCTCGTAAGAAATAGACGGGTAACTACCTGCGTAGCCTCATTAGGAGTAATGAAGTTGTTTTTGTTGGATTAGTGGAAACTATGGTGGAAGATATCAACAGGAGTGAGGTTGATAGGCTGATTGGGAACGAGTGGGATTTTATTCATTTTCCAGCTGTGGGACTCTCGGCATAACTGTCGGCACTATGGAGAAGGGATGTAACTCAATTTGAGGTGATTACAGCTATGGACCAAGTGTTAATGGGTCACTTGCTATTACCTGATTCTCAGAAATGGACTATTGCTTTGGTGTATGCTTGTAAAGATTACCATGGCAGAAGAATTCTTTGGGATACTATTGGTTCTAGCATTAATGCTGATCTCCCAGTAATTGTAGGGGGTGCCTTCAACTGTTCCTTGATCAGAGTGAGAAGAAAGGAGGGAAAAGATTTAACTATTCGAATGGGGCTCAAGAGATGATGGGATTTCTTGTTGATAATGACCTGCATGATTTGTGTTATTTGGGGCCAAAATTCACCTAGTCTAATAATAAGATTGGTAATAGCAAGATCTGTGTAAGGTTGGACAGGGTGCTTATGAACTCTGAAGGATTGTGGTTGGCTCCTCTGGCCACGGTGAGGCATCTTCTACGTATAGCTTCGAACCACTGTCCTTTATTATTGAATATGTCTCCTATCAGCCCAAGGCCCAGAAGCAAATGGATTCGGTTTGAAGATATCTGTATGACTTACCCAGCCACGTGGAGATTGGTGTGGAAAAACTGGAAGAAGGAGGACTATGGACAGCCGAATGAAGTGTTGAATCATAAGTGTCAAAGAACACTCGGTAATTATTTTTTCTGGAGCCGTAATCGTCTGAAGGAGCTGGGGGAGCTGAAGGATTCACTGGAATGTCACATTCAGGAACTCCAAATGTTGGAGAGTTCTAATATGGGCCTTAGTGAAGCTCAGGACTTGGAGCTACGAAAGTTGGTGGTGGATTTGAACTCGTCACTGGCTAGAATGGCGACTTGGTGGAGACAGAGAGTGAAGACGAAGTGGATGGAGGAAGGTGACGCCAAGTCACATTTTTTTCACTCCTTTGCTATGGCAAGAAGACAGGGCAACAGAATTGTGGAGGTTCAAAATTCTAGTGGGAAAAGGATCACAGAGCAGAACCTGATTATTGAGAAATTCTTGGAATTCTTGAGGCTCAAGTGGAAGGAGAGACAGATACTGATGGATAATTGGCCTAGTTTCTAGAGGGAGGACATGATATCTGACCAGATGAATTCAAAGTTGGAGGAGGAGATCTCGGAGCTGGAGGTTCGTCAAGCTGTTTTCAGCATGGGGAACAATCTGGCACCTGGCATAGATGGTATTACCTCCTCTTTCCTTAAATTTTACTGGGAAATTATTAAAAGTGATGTCACTAGAGCCGTACTTCATTTCTTTTACACTAACTCTATGTCTGAGAGTTGGAAAGATACATTAGTGGTATTGATTCCCAAGACTGATAGCGCCAATCAGCCTTCCAAATTCAGACCTATCAGTCTTTGTCAATCCTTTTATAAGGTGATTGCTAAGATCATCATTAATCGGAAGAAACCTGTTCTGAGCGGTATCATTAGTGAAGAATAGGGAGCATTCGTACCGGGAAGGTCTATTTCTAGCCACGGATTGATTGCACAGGAGATGATGTCGAAGTTCTAGTACTCTGCTCAGAAGGAAGGGATGATGGCTCTCAAGGTTGATATGGAGAAAACCTATGATTGTATGCCGTGGGATACTTTACATAGAGTCATGGTGCTTATGGGATTTTTGGTAAATTCATACAGTGGGTGATTCAATGCATTGCTCGGCCAAGGTTTACGGTGCTGATCAATAGAAGCATAACATATTGGATTGATGCAATGAGTGGTCTTAGACAAGGATGCCCCTTGTCACCTTATTTGTTTATCATTTGCTCTGAATTATCGACTAAGGCAATTAAGCAAAGGGGGGACAGCTGGGAGTTAGTATTATCAGGAATGCTGAGAAAATTTTGCATTTGTTGTATGCAGATCACATCTTAGTGTTTGTTGAAGCTAATAAGAGGAATGCCATTCAGGTGGTGAGCCTTTTGAAGGATTATTTTGCCTGGACGGGACAGAAGGTGAATTGTGCTAAGTCATCTATTTTTTAATACGAGGTGTCCTAGTTAAAAGAAAAGGGTAATTTCCAAACTTATGGGGTATAGGAAGGTGGATTCTATTGATTATCTTGGTCTCCCCCTAGTGATGAGGAGGTTGGTTGATAATGACTTTACTAAGATTGTTAAAGGAGCTTATGAGAAGACAAATCTTTGGGGAAAGAAACATCTATCAATGGCAGACATAGCTCTTTTAATCAGAACTTCCCTTCTATCTATTCCCATGTATTGTATGACTCACACGGCTGTTCCTACTGGAGTTCTAAATTCAATTGAAAAGTTGAGAAGGCGGTTCTTATGGCAGAAAGACTCTAATAGTAGAGGAATGCACTATGTGGAGTGGAAGGAGTCATGCCAACCACTGGATCATGGGGGACTGGGATTTCATTGTCTATCCTCTTGGCATGGTCCTCTCAGAGCTTGGTTGGCTTGGGAAGTAATGCATAATGGTGATTCCTTACTGCATAAGGTGATTAGAGCCAAATATGGATTGGATATCTGGAAGAACACTCAGGTTTGAAAGGCTTCAGTCACATGGAAGGTGATTCACGATGGTGCTCTGGCTCTCCGGTTGATTCTTCACTGGAGGATTGGGGATGGTCAGCGTATTGAGGTTTTGCAGGACAAATGGATATTGGATCGTGATTTGGCGAGATGGCCAACATTTGTTAATGTCCTGGAGGTGGAGAATGCAAAAGTTAGTGATCTGCTGGATGCCTCCTTGCAGTGGAATGGGGAGATGGTTGAGAAATGTTTTGGCAAAGTTATGGCAGAACATATTAATGATATCAGCACAAACAATTGTAATGGCATTGATTGTCCTGAACTCATTCACCATCCAATGAGTATGACATTGACTTCTATGGCATATCTTGCCAAAGCTGGTGTGAGTAATTATCAGTTTTTATGGATGAAGAAGATAAAGCTACACCCCAAGGAGGAGTTCTTCTAGTGGAGATTATTGAGGAATGCTATTCCAACAAATGGTTGGTTATTTCGGAGGGGACTTGCTCCAACTCCTCTTTGCCCTTGGGGATGTAATGTGGAGGAGAATTTAGACCACTGTACTACTCAGTGTGAGAAGCTCATGAAGGTTCACAGTATATTCAGTAAGTTGGGATTTGTCTTGCCTTGGGCTAATTCTCTCGGTGGGCTTCTTGCCGTGCTCCCTACTATTGCTGAAAAATAATCCTGGATTGGGAAGAATATGCTGTTATGCAATTTATCAGCTTTGGCGCGCTAGGAATGATATGAAGCATGGAAGGAACTACAGGCCGCTGTCTATTATTGCTGCTACTGTTCTTTCTTTACTGCCTAAGCCATATAACTCACCAATTCTTGAGCAATGGGACATTAACCAACCCGTTGGGTTGTCTTCTTTTAAGTAATGGTGTCCCCCGTCCAGGTTGGTTGAAGTTTAATGTGGATGCAGCATTACAGCTTTCTAATCAAGCAGGTCTTGAGATTATTGTTCGTAATCATGTGGGATCTCTGCTCATTGTGGCTGGTAGATGTGTGGAGCATTGGGATGCTTGTCAAGCTGAAATATTGGTGGCTGCGACTGTCTATGATGTTATTAAGGACTGGATGCTTGAAATGGAGGGAATAATCATTGAGGGTGATTGCATTAATGCAATTAAATGGCTACATAATATGAACGATCGGCGCAATAAGGTCCACTTCAGCTGTGAGGGGCCGGATATGACCTTTTTAATGGAGTTCAAGCAGGTGATTTTTAGGTACATAAACAGAGATAGTAATAGGGCTGCTGATTACTATGTTAAATTAGCAGTCTATGATAGCTTTTCTATTGATGACGTTAATAATAGGGAATTCCCTTCAGCACTGTTGGCTTTGTTGAGGGGGGATAGTGATAGGGAATAGTTGTTTTGATTTATTTTGAGGATGTTACTAGTATTTAGCTTTTGATTACTTGATTAATGCAAATGCAGATATTCAGCTCTCTCCCTCTCTCTCTTACTCTCTCCCTCTCCCTCTCTCTCTCTGTCCCTCTCTCTCTCTCTCTTGCTCTCCCTCTCTCTCTCTGTCCCTCTCTCTCTCTCTTGCTCTCCCTCTCTCTCACTCTCTCTCTCCCCCTCTTTCTCTCTCTCTCTTCACTCCCTTGCCCTTTCTTGCTTTCTCTCTCTCTCTCTCTCTCTCTCTCTCTCTCTCTCTCTCTCTCTCTCTCCCTCTCTCTCTCCCTCTCTCTCTCCCCCCTCTCTCTATCTCTATCTCTCTCTTACTCTCTCTTGCTTTTTCTTGTTCTTTCTCTAGCTTGCTCTAACTTGCTCTCTCTCTCTCTCTCTCTCTCTCTCTCTCTCTCTATCTCTCTCTCTCTCTCTCTCTCCCTCCCTCCCTCCCTCTCTTGTACTCCCTTGCTCTTTCTTGTTCTCTCTCTCTCTCTCTCTC